TAGCTGCTGCTATTCTCACTTTACAGATGATGCAAACAAGGAAAACAAATACCCATTTCAGTGTGTGCTCATTGCACGCCTGCTTGAAAGAGCAGAGGGAGAATATGTGCTTTCTTATGACTTTTATAGGATTTATCTGTATCATCAGAGCATGTCAGAGAAGAAAACTCCCTCAAGTAATGATATTCACATTTTGTGTAAAGAAACAAGAACGGAGCAGGCTTAGGGAGGAAATCTCTAGCCTCCAGCAACTGAGGAGGAGGAACTGGAGACAAAAGTGATACCGCAGATGATTTCTCACTTAAAAGGGTGACATGAGGAAGAGACTGCCTCGTGACCAAGATCACAGAATTTTTGTGTTCATCAACAGCTATGTAGTTCTTCCCTTGCATTGGTCAAAGTATGCTTAGCTTGTGTTTGGCCAGATACATGGCCAGGGATTAAGAGGGCAACAGATACCTTGTATCTCTCATCCTTCCTCCTTCTATTTGTCCTTCTCTTATAATATGGCTGGCAAGTCTAGCAGAGAAAATTACAAATGTGGTTTTGAGAACATCCATTATAAGTGAGTACAGCTGTTCAGAGGCCACACCACACAGCACAGCCACAACAGAGCACAATCCAGGGTAAATTTCTAGGCTTTTTACAGTGGTCATAGACTTCCTACCATATAACAGAGCTACTGGACTTTAGGGAAAAAAATTGGTTTTTTGTACCCTTTGACAAATCCAAGGAAACAATCCTGTAATTTTAAGACAATTACTAATTTGAATACCAATATGAGTATGGTATTGAAATCTACCTGCCACTATGGAAGTACCACCACGTAATTGTTTGGCACTAGACTGCAGCCAAGTAGTGGTAGTCTGCTGTAGTAACTCAGCAAGATAACAACTTGCAACTCACCTGGATAACAACACAGAGCAAGGATCACGCTGAGGACTGCATCTTGCTCTGCTCTCTCTGAGGTTCACAGCACTAGCAGCTTCTTCATACTGCCAGACACCTTAGAAGGTCTTATTACTCTTGAGTTCTAGTTGAAGATATCTGCCTTACATTAAACTTCCTCCAATTCATGCTTCAGCCAGTTTCACAAATTATTTTTGCTCAGAAGTTTCACTAAACTCAATGAAAAGTGAAAATACCCTTGCATTAAACAATTTTTTTTCATTTATTTTAAGATTTTTCTTGAAGAGAAACAAAATGCTATTGAGAGCACTGGGATTATTTTTTAAAATAAAGATTATTGGACAGAACTGGGAATGTTAAGCTTTCATTGTCCATTCACAGTAAGGACTAGTTAGGATGATACTAGACACTAGGTACTACCAGATACTCTCCAAAATACTCTGAACAGTTGTGATCATCAACTCCTAAGAAATACTAATTTGAGTCAAAAGACAACAGAGAAATCCTTTAAAGACATAAAGAATGGAGAGCTTTTCTATGGGAGGATGGAAAAAGAGATGGTTCACTTGAAACAGAATGTAGGCTAGAAAGGACTGCTGACAGATAAATAGATAGCTAGATATCAAGGTCTTAACCAGCACTCAATCCTTGAGTACTGTGCCCAGTTTTAGGCACCACAGTATAACAAGGACACTGAGGTGCTGGAGCATGTCTAGAGAAGGGCAACAAAGCCGGTGAGAGGGCTGGAAAACATGCCTTACAAAGACCAGCTGAAGGAACTGGGGTTGTTTAGTCTGGAGAAGAGGAGACTGAGAGGTGACCTTATTGCTCTCTACAACTACCTAAAAGGAGGTTGTAGTGAGGTGGGTGTTGGTCTCTTCTCCCAAATTACTGATGATAGCATGAGAGGAAATAACCTCCCCTGGCACAACTTGAGGCCTCGATTGGATATTAGGAAGAATTTCTTCACTGAGAGAACTGAGAGAGTGGTTAGACACTGGAACTGGCTGACCAGTGAAGTGGTGGAGTCATCATCCCTGGAGGTGTTCAAAAACAAGTAGATGTAGCACTTGAGGCTATGGTCTAGTGGTTAGGGAAATGCTGGAAGGTTGGACTTGATGACCCCAGAGGTCCTTTCCCACCATAGTGATTGTATAATTCTATGACATAAAGTGTATTTTGGCTAATGTTGGCAAATGGAATGGATGACCCAAGAATAAATTTACTCTGGAAATGCAGAAAAACGTTCTAGTACTAGAACAGCAAGATCCTGGAAATGCTTGCTTATAGGAGTGGGATCAAACTGTTCTGCTCTCAAGTGGAGTTCAGAAAGTATATTAAAGTCACTTGAAATAGACAATTTGTTTCAACTGACCTAGCATAATAATTCAAGCTTTAAGTCCTTCAAGTCACCTGAAGACCTACATATGTAAGTGCCTCCTGTGCAAAGTCAAGAATTAGATGCCAGTGTCAGTTACAAAAACTCACAGAGCTTCTAGACAGCCCTGTAGGCAAGTGACTGACTTGCTGCAGTCTAGCTCATGCCTAAATATCAGTATTTGAAAATTGTGTGATTTTAGGCACGATGTGATCATACTCTCACCCATCCAACCTCACAAAAAGAATCCAGGCTGTTTGATGTAACTGACTTTAAAGCATGTATCTGGAATGTAGGAGACCTGAATTAGTTCCTTTCCACCTTCTATCCATCCTGGGAGATGCATGGAAAGATTCAGTCACCTGCTCAGATTTGAGAGTTTTAGGAGGTAGCCAGATGTCAAGAAGTTATCCACTGTGATGTGTTCTTGTGAGTCTACTTCCTGTACTTGTGTAGAACTAGATGCTTTAGTCAGGATGCAGAGAAGGAATTCAGTTAGAATCATCAGCTTTTTATGAGTTTTGTATTAATTACACCATGGCAGCTTTATCAGCTAGCTCTGTAATGATACAGAGAGGTTTCTCAGCTCAAGCCCACTCTAAGCAAATACATCTATATTGCTTGCAGGGTCAGTGTGATTTCAAATGCAGTTCAGCCACTTCTGTAGTATGTGCAGTCCAAACTAATGAACCATCAGAACCAAATTAGCTTCCCAAGTAACCTGATGGGGTAGTTTTGTGTGCTTCCAGAACTGGGAATGCCATGTTGTAAGAAGTAAAAGCTACATCTAGTAGGTCCTCCTGGCTATGTTTGTACTTGTGAATTAAAGAATACCAGCACCTGGGACAAGGTGGTCATCTAAACATTGTCAGAATGACCCAAGGTATTAAATTCTGTGTAGGCCAGCTAGGCCTCCTCCAAGCAGGCATGATTTGGCAGTTGGCATGGTCCAGGAGCAGACAGCTTGCATGCAGCAACTGTGCTTTGCAGGCTAATTTTGTTAATGTAGCCAGACCAAACCAGAAGGAGTTTTGGCACTGTACACATGCAGTAACTCCAGCTGAGTTTCAACCCTGCCAGACACAAGAAGACTCCATTCACCAATTGCTTCTGCACCAGGCTCTGAAACAGGGTGTGTCAGCAAAAATGTAGTACTGAATGTGAGACTGCATGTCTCCTCCTGAAGTCCTGTGCCCAGACTAAGTCCTCAAAGTCTGAAGGAACAATCTGTTGGCTCCCAATAGCCAGATCAAATTTTGCAGGGTCAGCAATGAGCTAGTGCTAACAAGACCAGCTGTAACTGAGATGTGTTACAGATGGGCCTCTCTGCAGCATCTCTGGTAACAACATACCTTATTAGCTCATTCACAATGCAAGATCCAAGTGGTCTCTGTGCACGCATTGGTGTTACTCTTGATCTTCCAGGCTTGCTCACTACCCACAGCACCAGTGGCTGCACTGAAATACCTTAGTGACTTTGAGGGAACCAGCCCTGGTCCACTAGGTTCAGCGCTGAAATATATTTAGCAGCAGTTCTGGACACTTGATGCCTTAGACCTGTCAATCAAAGAGATTAACCTAAAATATAAATAGATCATGAGTATTTATGTAGATGTGTATTTGTATATACATATACATATATATAAAGATATACAGCCCATACATATGAATTTAAATGAAAATTATATGATAAAATTTAAAAACCTTTGAATTATAAAAAACATGAACATTTTGCAATACGAACCTCATACAAGACAAAAACATTTTGTACATCTTTTTCAGCTTAAATTTGACAGCAGAAATAAAGCTGCAAAATATAATTACAGACCACAACTGGCTGGTCCAGTAGTTTGTTATCCAGCATTATGATTAATATAATACCTATGTCACAATCCTCCTTAATATATGCAGGGTTTTTTTCTTATTATTTTTTTCAGAAGAACACGGTTCTGATAAGTGCTTGGTATGATTAGGTCAAACCCAGTGTATTTATACATATCACTGTGTTATTGGTGCATCACAAAGGAAGTACAGAAAAATATTGGGTGTTTACCTATAGGAATAGCATATCATTAGAAAACAGAACACAGCAACTGCAAACTCTTTTGCTATTGTTGTTATGGGTGGAAAAACAAAACAACACTAGAACAATTTTACACGTCTGACATTGCCGTTTGATTACTGTCACATGAACATCCCTGCAGAACAGTCCCACATTTCATCTGAACTCCAGTCGGAGGGCATTTTCAGGATGTGCTGTATAGCTGTTCTCTCCGTATAAGGTGAACTTGCCCTCTGCTCCCTTGATCCAGAACAGTCATTAGGAAAAGAAACTTTGCTCCCTGGAAGACAGTAGGGACTATAGTTTATAATGAGTCTGCTAAACCAAGCAGAATTATTCCTGGAGAGGTGAACAGTTGTGTAACCTGTCCCACCTTGTTACTTTTTTTTTGGCGGGGGTGTTTTGAAAGTCATTTACATTTGAGAAAGTAACACACTGAGAAACAGGAAATACACTCAGGTAACTCCACCATTCTCCCATGGTATTCTGCTGCTTCTTGCTGCATCTCTCTTTCATGTACTCTATTTACTTCTTGGGTTCAAAGTTTTCCTCTCTTTGCCTTTTTTTTTTTTTTAATCACACATCACTTGGCTCACTCGTCCTTGCACATCCAGCCTTTGTTGTTTTCAGTCTTTTATGCTGATCTTTCAGTTAGGAGCTCACCAAAGTGTAGATCATGCTGAATGTAAAAGAAAGACACAATATGAAAGTATCCTTTTGAAGCATACAGAGCACTTTGATTTTTTATAACCCTTTACTGTCTGTTCCTCAGGTCTGACTGTAATGGCCTGTTCTTTCCTTTTCATTCTTTCTCTCTCTCTCTAAAACATCTTAATTATGGTGTATTCAAGATGGGTATCAAAAAGCACTCAAGGAATAACAAATTCATTATCCAGATCCTACTGCACCACAAGCTGTGTTTGAGCTTATTAAATTGCAGTCTGATATCTGAATTTGAACAGCGAAGAAACAAAAGCATTTTGCTTTATTGTCTTTGATCTTTAAAACTCCAACCAGCAACTCCCAGCAGGGCAAGCAAGGTTTCCCATCAAACTGCATTATTTTGTTTTCTTTGGAAAAAAGAATCAAAACCCATGCAGTAGAAGGAATATAAAATGCAGACACCAGCTAGAATGAATCCATACATAGTAAACGCAACACTGAAAAGAGAAGGAATCATAGTGTATTGCCATGGCCCCGTTTTATTGCAATTCTAATTCTGGCAATATCCAGGAAAGCACAACAAAATTGAATGTAATTAGTACTATTTTATTTAGCACCAGGTAGTGAATTTTGGACTCTAGCCACATTTTAGAATGAAGGAAGCAGGATTCAGAGGAAGCTGCAGAACATTGGAGTCCCAGCAGAAATACTAGAACACGCTACATAGCTGACTTTGACAGTGTCTTTTAGTCAACACAAAAAGGTGGGCTTAAAAATGCTTTTCTCTCCAGCCATCTCCTCTGCATTACCAACAGAGCTTGTCTAACATATCTGGCATGCTTTCCACTCTCGGCCCTGTGAGGAGGACTGACAGGCAAACCCACAAACCTACTGGATGCTAAACTCTTGCTCAGATTCTCATGCCTCATCCATCCCACTATGAGTTAGGCATCCACCAGGTCCTGAGCCTAGGCACTTCTATTTTCTCTTATGCATGCACGTGTGGACAGAAAACTTTGTTCTCAATAGTATTTAAAAGCAATATTGAGAAACAACAACCTGCAGCAATGACTCAAGATACAGGGGAACTACAGAACCAGTCCAGATAATGGACCAGTAATCAAAGAAGAAATAACATTCATCTTCTTCCACCAGCATACAAATCTGCCTTACAGAGGGACTGCTGCATGTAAGATTGGCTTGAAGAGGCACTCTATGCAAATGCATTATTGAAGAAGGACTAAAAGAAAAGCATCATAAAACAATACATCCATTTAAAGTGTGTTAATCTTTGCTGTCAGGCAGTTTTATGGTGTGATTACAGGGGTGGCTAAAAGCACAGGGATCCTGCCAAGACCTTTCCTTAAATATGATCCTCACATATTCTCACACTGGGAATTTGTGACTGTGCCCTAAGAACATTTGACAGCTAAAAGAGGTGGTGGGAGAACAGATAACTGTGGTATGTTCAAGAATGTACTTATATTAGGGGTTTGGACAACACACAGGCTTACTCTGTCATGAAGGGGAGCCTGTAGAAATTACTACATGCGTGGTGCACCCCATGTTCCTACCCCTCACCTCACCTACCTACCCATTTAACCTACCAACTTGAGCATCACTACACCAGCAGATGTAGTGGTTTTCTTATGGCTCCCTTGAATCATAAGAACATGACCATTTTTATTTGATGTAATGTCATTATCATAACATATACTACTTCACCCATCTTAAAAGACCATGGAGCAAGAAATTTTTTTCTTAGGTTGTCCCTGGGGCCTGGCTCAGGTCTTAGATCAACACTTAATATGCTGTACAGAGGCATCAGCAGATACAAGCACGTGCTGCTGTAAGTGGGCATGCTTCCCTAAATCAAGATCAGAAGCAAGTTTTGTAAGACAAAGGAAATAGGTCCATTGGTTCCAGTCATTCCTAAATACAATTGCACATGTCAAATGAAAAACAGCTATTTCCTTAGTGAAATGATCAGACTTACCAGTACAGATAGTAGAAGAAAGAAAGGAGATAGAAAGCTAGCTTACACCAGGCCTCTTTTTGACAGTAACTCAAGGTATCTGCATTCATGACTGCAGGTGGATCATATGCTAGCTCAGAACTATCTGCTGGGCAACGGAAATACCTGAAAGAGCAGAAGAAGATATCTGGAATGACTCTGTAATGTTCTGTACTAAATACATGCAGATATATACCCTCCTGATCACCAGCTCCGAAGACGTCTTCCATGATATAGGAAGAATTTCCCTCTCTTTTTCAAGCCTCTATTCTTAAACATTGTTAGGACTATTAGTCTAAGAAGATCATTCTTTTAAGTACCACATAATTCATGAATGTGGACTTTGTGTTCTATTAATTCTTGAAACATTCCTTAACATAACATAATAACTTGCATATTGTAAGTGACAATATATTGCAGCTTGTGATCACCAGAGGGAGGAAGGATTACTGGGCTTTAACTGCACCTACACAACCGATTTCATACATGATGAAAGGTGACCATCTCAACCAACTGATAACTCAGTTCCTCCAGCTCTGAAAAGGAAAAAGTTACTATGGAGTAATATAAGAGCTATCACTAATGTTTTCTATATGTAGCATTGCTCAAATATTTATCATTCAAATAATTTTAATTGGAAAATGGTTTTCTTCTTACACAGGAGAAATTTCTAATTATTCTCAGCCATGATTGAATGCCTGAGAATAACTTGACAAAATAGCTTCTTTGATAAAGGAGCTTTTGTCTCAGTTATTTTGCAGTGAAAAGCAAAAGCAAACAAAAACAAAAGAAGTCCTCAACAAAGTTAACAAACTGTTTTAAGATCAGCACAAATCAGATGAAATAGTTATTTCTGAGGCTTCCAAATAGTAATGTAAACACTGAAAATTGCTTGGATTGCTTATAGATAGAGCGATAAAGAGACAGATAGATATAAAACCCCCAAACAAGTGACCTGCAGCAAACTTTGAAAGTAAATGTCCTCATAATAACTTGGCCTTCCTCTCTTCCAGTGCTAATCATATCCACTTACAATTTCTCATAACTTTATAAATTTTTTTACAGACACCACAGATGAAAACTTGATTAATTATCTTCAATTGGATGAAGATATTACACAGTATTTTCCCATGGCTTTGTGCAGAACTTTACACAATGAACCCAAACCTTTCTGTGGCTAAACCAGCAGAAATTATGTAGTAATTGTAGCAAAGCATATGGAGTATCATGCAAACAAGGACAATCAAAAGTTTTCTCCAAAGGCTGATACCATTACTTAGAGTCTGAACATTTTCCCTTGGACACAAAATACAGTTTTTTAAAAATTGTTTTAAAAAAACCCTTTCAGAATCAATATTATTGTCAAACTTCAGTTGTTAACAGTTACTAAAACTGCACCATTAAACCGTATTACTTTTATTGCACCAAATCAATAGGGAGAAAGGGACTTGTAGCTTCACTTCATTTAGCTTTCTGAGAACTATACCATCACTAACTTCTGAATAATACACTTTATTGTATGACTCTGCACTACTACCAAGCTTTGGCAGAAAATAGTGTAAAAAAAAGCCAGTACTTTTGAGTTCCTGGCTGATATAATGGTTTTGCTTTCTTTACAGAATTATTCTTCAAGCTACTTTGCAAGAGGAGACATTAAGAGACTGACAGGCAAAAATCATCTGTCCTTTTACAAACATCGTGGAAATGCAAAACTAGCAAAGACTCCAGACTGACAACCACAAATAACCGATGTCTCTTGTTTATCTTTGGAGGCAACAGGCTGATCCTCCACTAGAATGCAGAGGAAGATGTAACAGCAGCTGCACTGCCTGTGCAGAAAACAACAAAGTGGCTCCAAAGAAGGTCTTACATGATCAACTCTGAAGGCCTTGCAGTGACTATAAACACACTGTGGAGATTAAGAGAGGAAACACTGCCCACTTTTTCATGTGGGCAAGGTGAAGACAACAGCTCTTCATCTACTGCAATCCCTATTCCCAGGGCTCTAGGAGAGAGTTCTTTTGCAGACCAGAAATTTGCTACTGTACAGCAAGAAATAAATTATTTTATACTGAAAAAAAACCCAAACCAACCAATAAACAGTGAAAATGAAAGCATAAAACTGCCAAAGAAGATGAGAAGCAAGATTCTGTCAGCCTACCCAATCTCTGTTTCACAACTCCAATGGAAAGGTTTCCTTGTGAGGGCTGAAAGAGTAGGTCCAAGCTCTTTCGGATATGGACTGTCTTACAACTCACACACAAAACCAGACACAGAATCGCTATGGTTGCAAAAGACCTTTAAGATCATCAAGTCCAACCTTTATCTAAATCTACCAGGCCACTTCTATACCATATCCCTGAGCATCCTATCTAATTCCTTGTCTGTGAAGTATTTAGTGCCTCACAAAGTTCCACTTTCAGAGTCCAGCCTATTTAACTTCCAGGTTTTCATTCAGTTTGTGGTGAGTGCATCCTGACTCCCTTCAGAATATTTATCTAAGTTAGTAACTGAAAGCCACATTTATATTATTCTGTGTTTTCTTTACACAGTCTAAATGTTCATGAAAAATACATTTCCAGAGAAAAAGTAAGTTTCAGCTGCTTACAGATAAAAAAAAAAAAGCTTCTAGGCAAAAGATATTCAGCCATACTCCTGTTACTGCATTTCATAGCTCATACAATCTGAATGTGTACAGAGTTAGCAAATAAGGTTAATAAGCAGTCAGCATATAAAAGATGGGCTTACCTCCAGAAGTGATAAAAAAGCAAAGGAACGTTTAACCCCAGTGTGAGCCACTCCTGAGCACACAAAAACATTATGCAGAAAAGACTATGGATAGAGTACTCCGGCAACACCAGCTAAAATGAAAGAAACACAGAAATAACAGGTGTAAAACACTACTTTCATTTTAGTCACCTAAGCAGTTTTTCAGAAAACAAACCACCTCAGCAAGTCTCCTGTGTGTCTGTGTCTGTACCTAGACATACCTCAGCTGACAGACAACTTGGCTGTGAGCAATGAGCACAGGATGCAGTGCCAGGTTCATTCAGGTTCTAACCATGGCTGTACTCCAGGGGCTTGTTGAGAGGCATGGGACAAATCACTTTCTGCCTACAAAATGCAGATTTTTACTGCCTCCCACACAGAAGCATTGTGAGACTAAATGAAAGTCTGTGAAAGGGTTCTTAAAAAACTAAGTTTCATTGCTGATGCATTCAGAAAGGAAACAGTAAAGCCATGACTGAAGCTTCATTTCTATATTGGACAAATGTCCTTGGAAAACTAAAAGGCTGCTTCTACCATTTTGATATGCCACATACACCATAGAGAGATCAAATCCATTACAAAGTCAGCATTGCAAGCTAAAACCCACCAAGACAGGAAACTCACTTCCTTAGTAAATCCATGGCTCTGCACACTACTTGTTTTAAACCCAAGATGATTCTTTCTATTAAAAGAGAAAGTGAGTGGGCAGCTGGCAGAAGCAGAAATTTATGTGATGTTGATTCAGAGGAGTTATTTCTAAAGGCATTTTGCTTTTTATCACTGCTTTCCCATTTTTTAGCTGTCTTCCTTCTCTTGTTTTTTTCCAATTTATTTTTTTTTTCCCTCAGAAATCCCTATTTCTTTTCTTCAGCTCATAGAGGAGATTAATTTCTGGCAGTATATATTTCTCGAAGCTAAACAATCCCATACACAGTTCATCTGCATCCCTTGCTGCATCTTGGGGCTACATCAACCAAAATCAAATCACGAAAAGCATTTGAGGAGCTTCTTTTAATGTAGATTAATTATTTGATAGATGAAAATGAAAGTCCTATTTTTTAAAATGTGAAACCTTCTATACAGCTATTCCAAATACCTACCTAGTCCCACACAGCTATGCTGCAATGAATTCTGTCTTCTTGGTTCTAGGAGCCTTTCAACCTCAGATGGAACATAGTTTTTTATTATCATTTAACCTCACCACTTGAAGTAGTTAACACATTTGGATATCTCTGTGTCCACACCTTCTCTTCCTTCTCTTAAATATTCTCAAATGCTTATCTTATGTGGATGGCAAATCATAATACAATTACATAGTTCAGGTTCCAGATGGTAGTTAGCTATAACTGCTGGATTATTTTGGTTTTCTTTTTAGAATGCGATTTACAACATGACTATAACCTTTCCTTAGAGAATGATTCATCTTCATCACAAGTTGCAGACAAGAAGAATCTTCATGATGTAAGTCTACCCACTAAAAATCACAACAATTAAAGTATATTATATTAATTTTCACATATTTTGATTTCTGATTCCAACACAATCCACAAATTTAGCAAGAACACCAACCCTGGTGACTGATCAGTGGGCTGGCCAGTAATAACAGGAAAGAAAACCCACAGTGAAAGTTTATGCAGAGCTTAAAAACCAAACCAAAACAGAAAATACGCTGTGAAGCTAGAAAGGAAACAAAAGAAGCAGTGAACTCTGAGAAACAGACTCACTTTCCAGTCACAGTTTCTGGTATAAATTAAATCTACCTATGCTTTTGATAGAACAACAAATGGGTCTTTCATGTCTTTTCACCCTTTTCTTGGAGTGATATTTTCCTGTGGATGTAAAAAAAAAAATAAAGGATCACAGTTCCTGAAGAGAATTCATGCAAAGGAGTAAACAAAACCCAGCCTGCAAAGTCAATTGCAGTTTATACTCAGGGAATTAACTAAAATATCAAATCTAAAAGAGGGGTGAGAGAACTGAAAGCATAACATGCACAAAGGCACTAACAGCAAGGCTTGTGAGGAAAAATAAACTGAAAAATTAAATAACTAAAATATAACACTGCCTCAGTTCTTGGCTGTAAGAATCATCCTGCAGTTTGACACAATGTCCTCTGAAAACAATGCAAACTTTTAATCAACTTTAGTGAACACAGGATTCAGCTCCTGGAGAGAAGAAAGCTGGCTGAGAAAAAAGCAACAGCCAGTCTGTGTT